ATATTTATTTTGTGAATTTTTTTGGCATCAATTTTATAGTTTTTTCATATTTTCCTGCTTTTTATAAATCAACTACTCATTTTCGAAATTTATTGGAACAAATAAAAATTAAAAAAAATTATTGAAATTATTGAATTTAAGGTTACTATATTTATTTTTGATTTTTTGGCTTAATTTTATATTTTTATTTTCATATTTTTTATTTTTTTATTAATAAATTACTCATTTTTTGGATTTGTAAAAAAAATTAAAATAAATTGTAGAATTAAAGGTTACTATATTTTTTTGTGAACTTTTGACGTTAATTTTATATTTTTTTCATACTTTTCGTATTTTTCATTAATCAATTACTCCTTTTCAAGATTTACAAAAAAAACTATTGAAATTTCTGGATTTAAGGTTACTATATTTATCTATGAATTTCTGGTTTTAATATTATATATTTTTTCATACTTTTTAGTAATCAATTACTCATTTTCGGGATTTACTAAAAAATAAAAGGTAAACAAAATTGTTAAAAATTGATTGGATAGTTATTTAAAAGGGGGTTGGTTTATGAATTGGATTAAGTGTTTATGGGTCCGAACCCTTTCCATTTTCATATAGGCATAATACATAAATATGCCCTTTAATTTGGCTTCAGGTACATTTATGTCCTTCAACTTTGGTGTGCACAAGTAGACACTTAAACTTTTATAAAATTGAACAAATAGACTTACATGTCATTTTTTGTCCTACGTAATTTCTTACGTGTATTTTGTCATGTAGGACTCATGTGTCTATTTATTTAAAAGTTGGATAGTTAAAGTGTCTGTTTGTGCATTATGAAAGTTGGAGATCAAAGTTAAAATTTGAAGTCAAGTTTAGGGTCCAATATATGTATTGTGATTTTCATATAAATGTCATGTGATAAGGTAAAAATGACATGACAATTCCATATGGTATTTAAAGAAATGAAAAATGAGTTGGATATGCCTAGCACACCAACTAACGCCCATAAGGGCATATTTGGGCTTAAAGTTGAACGAAGACATGAATGAACCAAACTTTAAATGGAGGTGTATCTAAACCTTTTCGAATGGTTTAAGGGCATATTTGATCATTTTCCCTTGAATGAATAAACAAACAATTTTTGAAGCCAAAGAGAGTGAAATGCAAACGCTTCCACGTGTATTAGTGAGCCACTCAGGTGGCTGCCAACTAATTAGATATTTTACACGTTCAATTTAGAATTTAAAAAATATAAAATGAGATTTTGATTTGGAAATATAAACATATATATAAGGGATTCATTAAGGGTAGAGTTGTCATTTCAACATTTTTTTACCGTTGTGGGCTTCAAAAATTACTCCTAACTCGCGTAAAATACGTGCACATCACGAGTTTTGCCAGGTAGGACCGTAGGACTCGCGTGTTTATTTATTAAAAGGTTGGATAGTGAAAGTGCATGTTTGTGCACTATGAAAGCTGGAGGTCAAAGTTAAAATTTGAAGTTAAGTTTAAAGTCTAACATATGTATTATGCCTTAATTAATTATTATAATATTCAATGTCGCTATAAGGTTTAAAGACATTTACAAAATGTGTTATTGCCACTAAAAAAATACTTTGTCTATCTATAATTATTTGTTCATTTTTAATTTTTTAGTTGTCCTTAATTACTTGCCAT